AGAGGGACCATGAGAATCGGCTCCCGGAGGCATGGCCCCACTGCAATCCCATCTCCTCTTGAGATTTTGAGCACACATGCACATGCACCCAGCGTGGTTTTGAGGGTACCAGGCCTAGGATTTGAACTGCACAGTTTGATATGTGAGATCCAGTGCCTTAACCTCCGTGTCACCTCCCGGCGCCTATCCCACACGCTTTCATATGCCGATTTCATTATCACTCAGCCCAAAATATATTCTAATCTTCCTTTTGATTTCTTCTTTGACCTGTGAGTTATTTAGAAGTATGTGGCTTACTTTCCCAATATCGAGGAATTGGGATTATTTTTAAATTGATTTTTTATTTAATTTCTTTTTTTTTGGAGAGGTTTTCGCTATAGGGCGTGTGCGCTCGCCAGACAGACAGAGAGAGATAGAGAGACAGAAAGCAAGAAATCACTCCCCAGGGGGGATGGCCACGCCACAATCCCTTCTCCTCCATTCTCCTCTCGGGATCTTGGGCACGCATGCACATGTGCCCGGCGTGAGTTTTAAGCCACCGGGTCCGGGACAAGAACCATGGACAACTATGTGGGAGTCCAGTGACATAGCCATTACGCTAACTGCTGGTTCCCCCCCTCTAACCTATTTTTAATGTCAACAGTGACTGCTTTATTTCAGATACTTAATTTTTCATTTGTAGAAATTAAAATTTTTAAAATCTATTTCCCTCTTTTTTCAACATATTCATATCTTAAAATAGTTGAATGTGGTTAAAACAGTTAACATCCTTGTGTATTCAGATCATCCTTAATATTCCCCAGTCTGTTTTTATTGATTGATTTTTTTTTCTGGTTATGGGCCATGCTTTTCTGCTTCTTGACACGCTTACTAATTTTTGACAGAATGCTTAGCTAAACATGATGACTTTTATGTTTTTGAGTGTTTAGCTTTTACTTCCCACAGAGGAGACAGCATCGCTGTAATTCCTTCTCCTCCATTCTCCTCTTTGGATTTTGGAAACACACGTATGCATATGAGCATGACTTTCAAGTCGCCGGGTCTGGGACTTGAACTGTGGTCACCCATGTGGGAGTCCAGCACCTTAATCACTATGCTGCTAACTGCTGGCCCCCAAGTTTCCTAGATTTTTTTTTAAGATATAAAGGTTAAATCTGGTTTCTGTTATTCCATCATGGCCCAAAGTAGAAGTTCCTTCTTTTCTTTCGAAAGAGATATTTTGCTATAGGATGTATGTGCTTGCTAGAGAGACAGAGAGACAGAAAGTGAGAAATCACCCCCCTCCCCGGGAGTATGGCCACTCTGCAATCCCTTTTCCTCCATTCTCCTCTTGGGATTTTAGGCACATACACACATGCGCCAAGTGTGAGTTTTAAGCTCCTAGGTCCGGGACTTGAACAGCAGCTGACCACATGGGAGTCCAGCGACATGATCATTACGCCATCCCAGAAGTCCCTTCTTACATTCTAATGTTCTAAAAGTTCTAATGTTCTAAAAGTTCTAAAAAGGAATCTTGGTTTTTTGAGAGGTTTTCGCTATAGGGGGCGTGCGCTCGCCAGACAGACAGAGAGAGAGAGAGACAGAAAGTGAGAAATCACCCCCCAGGGGGGATGGCCACACCACAATCCCTTCTCCTCTGTTCTCTCGAGATCTTGGGCATGCACGCACACACGCCCGGTGTGAGTCTCAAGCCACCAGGTCCGGGACGCAAACCGTGGTTGACAACATGGGAGTCCAGTGACATAGCCATTACGCTAACTGCTGGTCCCTAAAAAAGAATCTTGGGAAACAGTTTGGTAGTTCCTCGGTAATTTAAGCACGGGCTTACCATTTGACCCCGGAATTTCACCCTTATGTAAGTCAAAGTGAGACAGTCAGAGAGAGACAGAGAGACAGAAAGTGAGAACTCACCCCCCAGGGGGGATGGCCACGCCGCAATCCCTTCTCCTCCATTCTCCTCTCGGCATCTTGGGCACGCATGCACACACGCCTGGCGTGAGTTTAAGCCAGTGGGTCTGGGAAGTGAACCACAGTCGACTACATGAGAGTTCAGCGACATAGCCATTACGCTAACTGCTAGTCCCTGAATTATATACTTAAAAAGCGTTGAATTGGCCCATGCTGACAGTATTCTGAATGGTAGAGAATGAAGACACAGCCAACTGCTGGTTCAGATCCCTGGACAGGATATCTGAAACACGCCAGGCTGCCATATTCCCAAGACCCTGCCGAGCTAGAGGGCTGGGGAAGGGAACTGCAGCGTGAATACATCTGGTTGGGGTGCTTCTTCTCCTTCTTTTTCTCCTTTGTGCACATGGCCTTTATAATTAATAGAATACACAAACTTTAAAAACAAACAAGGTTAAAATGATGAGTTTTATGTTTCTGTATTTCATCATTTTAAAAAATGACATAAAAGAGAATCTTTCATCTGTAATAAAGGATTTCTCTTAAACTTTTCAATTATTTCAATAAAAATGTGACTTCAAAATTTGTGTATTGATTTCCCAAGCCACAGCCCTTCTGTCTCTGGGAACCACCTTCAGAGAGAAGGCATTTGGGGGATGTGAACTGGTTGTCAGTTTCTGAGTTTTACCAAATAAAGTAGAATTGAGAAGGGAAAAAAAAAAATTGGGTATTGAGGGACCAGCAGTTAGTGTAATGGCTATGTCGCTAGACTCCCATGTAGTTGACCGTGGTTCGTGTCCCAGACCCGGTGGCTTAAACTCACGCCAGGCGCATGTGTGTGGGTGCCCAAGATCCCGAGAGGAGAATGGAGGAGAAGGGATTGCGGCGTGGCCATCCTCCCTGGGGGGTGATTTCTCGCTTTCTGTCTCTGTCTCTCTCTGTCTTTCTGGCAAGCACACATGCCCAATAGCAAAAACCTCTCAAAAAAAAATGTGTATTAACTGTACCCTGTATATAGGCACAATTATTATTTTTCAGTTTAATGTAGTAACAATAAAAATGTTATTTAATTCTTGAGAAACAGAGATGATCAGGGGAACTAACTGTTGTGTCTGTACTACTTAAGTTTACTCATTTGTTATAGCTCAAATTTTACCAGTTAGAGACCAGTTTCATCAGTTTTGGGTGGTACAAACCCTTTCAAAGTCAGTCTTACTAACTGAACCCCTATTTCAAAGTTTACTTGATCTAAGTTTCTATTTTTTTAAATTTATTTATTGAATTATTCAGAGAAGCATACCTCTCTAACATACTCATGCACAGACCCATTAGGGTCTTCAGGATCCACTTTTTTTAAAAGAGAGTTTTCTTTTTCTCTTTTGCTACAGGGCATGTGCGCTCACTAGAGAGACAGAGGCAGAAAACGAGAAATCACCCTCTGGAGGGGATGGCCACCTGCAATCCCTTCTCTTCCATCTTCCCCTCGGGATTTTGAGCACACACGCACATGCGCCCTGTGTGAGTTTTGAGCCTCTGGGTTCGGGATTCAAACCATGGTTGACATGTGAGAGTCCAGCGACATAACCATTATGCTATCTGCTAGTCCTGCCGTGACCCACTCATCCTCAGCCAGCCAGGATCACAGGCATGTGTGCATGAGCCCAGCACATACAGAGCAACCTGAAGACACAAACCTGGGGCCTTACCACGAGGTCTCGGCATGGTGGCATGTTGCATTACCCTGTGCCACCATGGATGGCTGACATATTTTTAACTGATCTTGGCTAAAGTATGTTTCACTCAGATCCTCATTATTTTCCCCCCCTGAATAAAAGTGCTTCTCACACCCAGAAAAATGTGTGTAATGCAAAAAAGTAAAAGTAGATATGATTATGAACTGGATCGTTTTGGCATAAAGTATCGCAATGACCAAGTGCCAAAACTCCAATGGGATCTGAGGATTAGATGGTAGTAACTCACTGTGAATATCCGGGATTTGATGGTTGGACTTCATTTATGTAGGAGAATGTCACTGTTTGTAGGAAATATGCATGAGAGGTCAGGGCGACGAGACGCCAGGTCAGCAACTTAATAGCAATGGTTCAGAGAAAAGAAAGTTGTTTGTAATATATTTGAAACCTTTCTCTATGTCCTTAATGGTTTCAAAAGTGAGAAAAGATTACGCGATGTTGTCTCAGTGAAATCACAGGAAAAGGGAACATTTAGACTGTGATAAAAATTTTAAAACAACAAAAAAAAGAAAGTTTAAAGATAGATTAAAAAAATATAAAAAATAAGATAAAGAAAACTTGGAAAAGACTAGGTTTAGGGGCCAGCAGGTTGCATAGTGGTTAAGGCACTGGACTCCCAAGTGGTTGACCATGGTTCGAGTTCTGGACCCAGCAGCTTGAAACTCATGCTGGGTGCATGTGTGTGTGTGCACAAAGTCATGAGAGAAGAATGGAGGATGGGGAACCAGCAGTTAGCGTAATGGCTATGTCGCTGGACTCCCACGTAGTCGACCGCGGTTCGTGTCCCGGACCCGGTGGCTTAAAACTCACGCCGGGCGCGTGTGCGTGCGTGCCCAAGATCCCGAGAGGAGAATGGAGGAGAAGGGATTGCGGCGTGACCATCCCCCCTGGGGGGTGATTTCTCGCTTTCTGTCTCTATGTCTCTCTCTGTCTGTCTGGCGAGCGCACGCGCCCTACAGTGAAAATCGCTCCCCCCCCAAAAAAAAAAGAAAAAAAAAAAAAGAATGGAGGAGAAGGGGTTGCAGCATGGCCGTCCCCCCTGGGGGGAGGTTTCTTGCTTTCTCTCTCTCCATCTCTCTCTGTCTCTCCAGCAACTGCATGCACCCTAAAGCAAAAATATTTTTCTCAAAACAAAACAAAACTGGTTTTAAATGCTGTCAAACATTTGACATACAATGGAAGTAGTGAAGAAAAGTCTCTACTTCACACAACTCTGTATTGCCTTGCAAGAGAATGAAAGGAGAAGATGACCAACAGAACAGAGGCAGGATGGTGGGCACGCATGCACATCTCCGGCAATACCTGGTGGCCGCGCGTCAGCCAGCTTGCGGGTGTACTTACACGATGGTTTTCCCAATGTGCTTGAACGACTTCTCGACGAATTCCCGGACACTGTGGACCTCCCCCGTAGCTATGACAAAGTCCTCCGGCTCGTCATTCTGCAGCATTAGCCACATGGCCTAGACAGCAAGAGAGGCAGATCCACGTGAGTCACACTCAGCGTCCATCCTGGAAATACGCTATCAA